CGAGGTCTACTGGAAAGAAGTAATGGAGGGGGAACACAATAAATAACAGAGCAATCAAAGCATAACATGGCAATACGCGGTGTTAGGGGTGACCTAATGCAGTACTAGGTGCTACTGGCGAAGGGGGAAAACATCCGGGAAAGTATTCCCGGTGTTTCGCTTTTTCGGGCAGATGAACCGGAGGTGGATTGTTGCATGTTCGATATGCTAGGGACGTGGGGCGGACGAACGAACTGCGTATTCGAATTCGTCTCGTCGTTCTAAGCAACTTTCATGTACAAAGTATTTTCATCCGAGCTACGAATTATTTTATATTAATATTCAAAGTTTTAAATCATTTTCTAGATTTATCAAATTATTTTAATTTGAAATAAATGTGAATTGCTAGGTGCACCCAGCTCTGGGTACACATAAGTGTACCAGAGGGGCTGACATATGGGTCCAAGAGGCCCCAGTTGACCAGTCAAACTTTGACTAGTCAACAGGGGTGGGGCCCCCTTGTCATACACTGTTTTACTAACCTAACAGATTAAATAGACTAATTAGGTTATTAGATTAACTAACACAGGATAATTAAGTTAATTGGCTCTTTAATTAATTAATTAATTAATTTTCTATTATATATTTTTTAGCATTCTCAGGGGGGCGACCCCACACGTCATTGGCAGGGGGTGCACAGTCAGCCCGTTGACCTTGGTCAACACGGCCAACAGGACCCACGGGCCCACCTACAGCGACCCAAGGAGGGGCCCAGGGCCGGCCACGTCAGCGGTGGCATCGGAGTTGGCTCCGGTGACCCGATCTGCGACGGAGATGGCCGGGGGCTCGTCGGAACTTGGCTGCAGTGGACGAAAACGAGCGTGTGGGGGCACGTTCGAACCGCCGTGGAGTGCTGCATCGAGTGAGGGTTGGTGGCTCGTCAGGAACGGCCAAAAAAGGCACCGACGGCGAGTAGGGGCATACGCGGAGCACGGCTTCGGCGCAGATGGTGGTAGGAGGCATGGGAGGACAAATGAAGGCAGCCACGGGTCCCTGGTGAACCCAGGAACACGCTTGTGTGCTCGAACGCGAGCTAGTCTCACGGAGGCGTCTAGTTCTCGAACGCGGTGACGGGGCTACCTATGGGGGCAAGGTTCAAGGGGGAGAGAGGAGAATGCGGGGGCTCACAAAGAACACAAAGAAGGCCCAAGGAGGCCGGCGATGGTCGGAGGGCGGCAGATCAACGACGGCCGTGGCATGCGGCGCCGGGGAAGAAGAGGCCGGGAGCGATGGCGTTAAGGCTCCCCTGTCCCGATCCAGGGGTGCCGGCGACATAGTCGAAGGCGAGGGCCCCCCGGACACGATTGAACGCCTCGGGGTGGCCGGTGGCCGCGGCAAATGGCGGGCGACGGCGACGGATGCGCTCGGGTGAACAAGGTCGGAGAGGGAGAGGGGTGAGGAGAGGGCAATGGGCGACGCCGGTGAGGTAATGTTGCGGGGGAGCACGGAGGCGCGACGGGGCAGCGACCGGCGACGTCGGGGGCGATTCCCTCGATCTGGTTCGGGAGGAACAGAGAAGGAGAGGGAGAGAGATCGGGAGACGAGTTGGGAACGTGGGGGGGGGACAAGGGTTAGGGTTTCGTGGTAGTGGAGGGATATGGGCGCGGCTGGTGGGCCGGCCTGGCAGTCAAGTGGCCAGCTGGGCTGTGGCCCAGTGGAGGGGGGCCTTTTCTGGTTTATTTCTTTTTTTGTTCTATTTTCTTT